TCTAGTGTTTTTGCGAGTTATTGTATAAAAGCGAGGGTTTTACTTTGTTCGCACCCAAAGAATAGCAATTGCAAATTTTTCTTGTCATTAAAAAAACACATTTATATATGTGATAAGAAAAAAAAAGTTAGAGATGTTTAAAATTTGTTAGCTAATTGTCTTGTATTTGACTTTTTTTATTACGAGAAATTTAAGGTGTAATTGATGGACTCCACGTGTCCTAATTGTTCTTTTAAAAAAAATCCACAATTACCCCCATCCACCCAACCCACCCCACAGCTTTTGAATATACTTTAAAATTACTATAGGGTTGGAGCACCGTGAGGAGTTTAAAGGGCAAAAATGGAACTTTTCAAAAATCACCAGGGTAACTCAATTTAAAATATTGTTATAAGCTAGCTTACGTACACTTCGATTATTTTATCGGATGCTTATTATCTCTTATCCTTATATTAAATTTATAGAAGCCTACCCCTCTAAAGATTAGATGTGAGGAAAAAGGTTATAAATCTATAGATGGCAGGGGTATCCATGATTTTTTAAAAATATATCAAATGAATCGATAAAATTCAAAAAAAAAATTTCTTTTGTATTTGTGATATTTAAGTCAAATATATACATAAAAAATTAGCATTTTTTTAGTAAAATGGTGCTCAACAAACATATAGTACTACTATTTGTCATACTTTATTTGTTATTAAAGCTTGATATTGTTTAAATAAGAAACGAGACATTCTAATAATAATGTTACTCTTATAAGGTATTTTGAAAATAATTGAATTGTACAAATATGGACTAAACTAAATATAATGTTTGGAAAATATTTTATATTATGCTACACGAAATATATATTTTCTCTCAATAGACAAAAAACATTATTTTTCCTTTAAAGTTAGGTTTCTACACCACTCAAATTGAGTAGTGGGCAGAAATGATTGAACAATTAAGTAGGATTAATTGCTATTAGCAGACCACACACTATCAAATAGGGCACGTTTAATCACTTCAGAATAACTTTATATTAAATGTCTCTGTTTTATATATCTGAAGTTTATATACATCTAATCAAAGTTTAATTAATTTTCCCGAAATTTAGGCATATATAATTAAAGTCCAATCCTTTTGTCCGAATTTCAGCTACATGTGGTTGATATCGGTCATTTTTACCTTAAATTTGTACACACACACATAGATATATAAAGTTCTATTATTTTTATTTGAACTTAAGGTAAAAATATGTTAACTTCAGGTAAATATAATCAATGGATAAAATTAGCTAATGTAGAATACTACTCTTATTAATTACTCTTAATAATAGTACACCAACAACAATATACCTATTGTAATTTTACAAGATAGAATCTGAAGTGAGTATACACATATCTTACTCTTGTGTTATGGAGGTAGATAGGTTAATTTAAAAAAACTACAGACTTAAATAACGCAAATTAAAGAACGTACATGAAGAAATAATATAATTACTCTTTAAAATGGTAATTTTAAATAATTACAAAACATAACGAGATTATGAAATTTTATAGCCTTTACATACAAGTGGTCTCCCTTACAGTTGCACCAATGTTATACATACACAGTTTAAAAACACATACATTAAATCTAGTTGACCATAGATACAATTGATGTCTTCACATATATCCCACTTTCCGCTTTGAAAGCAAATAAATACATATATAATTGATCACACATACATACAATATACATTTACATTCTAATACTGTACCTACTTTTACCAAGTTTTGTTTTTAATCGTTCTATAATTTGCTTGATTATTAAAAAGATAATAATATTAATAAAGTTTTTAAATTTATTATGAGTTATGATTATATATAACATATTGAAAAATTAATTTTTATAATAAGATTATCTAATTTGAACTATATATTTAGCCCAAAACTAATCTAACTTTAAAATATGCTAAATTAAATAAATGAAAATAGACTGAATTAATAAATAAACTTATCAATTTTGACAGATTAGGTTGATCATATGTAATATTAGTAGTGTAGATTGTAGATTTCTAGTTTTGGTTAATTATTTCTGCCTAATTATTCTACCTCGAATTAATATTGTTGTTGTTGCCATTTTTGTCAATTTATGCCAAATCAGCCTAATTATTAATGAGCGGAAATAAATTGGGTTAAAATAGATTCAGCCCCAGCGCAGACTAAAAGTGCTCTCCGAACCGTGCTGGATAGTCACCCATCACACGGCTCTCAAACCCAACCTGTGGTGCACAGTATATAAGACTCGTGATTCAGGCAATCCAATCTTCCGTGTGTAAGGCGGAAGCCGTTCTGGACCCGAAAATGCCCGTTCGCTTGTCATTGGGGATCCCAATCTGACTTGCTCGTGGTTTATTAATGTCGGGGTTGTTTTTACTTACCTTTCTGTCTATGAAAGAAATGAGGCCTTGGAGCTGATCTGTCAGTCCACCGTTACCACAAACGCCAGGCAGGACTGGGATCGCTGCCAACTGGGACTGCTCTTCAGTCTTCCTGAATCACCGAGCGTGAGTCCTTCTGCTCGAGCGCATTTTCTTGCCTTTAAGAGAGTAAAGGCTGTATGCATTACTGGATTAATTCGAATTAATAGTAATAGAAACTAGGGTCCACGTAGACTATTCAGAGGAGGTATGCGATAGGCTCCAAGCGCGATTCTGATTCTCAATTTGGTTTTCTGTTCTGGAATGAATCTGTTCTAAAGAAAGACCTGCCTATACTGAAGAGGGGCTGGTTCACGGTAATGAATGGTGGGAAGTTCCAGAACAGGTGGCTGGTATACCACAATAATCAAACTTCCTTTTCTTTTTTTTATTCGGATCGGATTTATGTTCCAATTTTGGTTAATTATTTCTGCCTAATTATTCTACCTCGAATTAATATTGTTGGTATTGCTATTTTTGTCAATTTATGCTGGATCAACCTAATTTTTAATGAACAGAAATAAATTTGGTTAAAATAGATTCAGCCAATCTATATAAGTTACATTAATTAGCATAATCTAAAGTAGAATTGATTGGAGAAATAGTATTAACTTTGTAATACAATTGGCTATAAATTCAATATGGTATAACTGAATACCGTATCAAATCGAAGTTTAAATTACCGTTTTCCGAATTCCCAAACCGAAACTTAAAAAATTTGATATTTGGTATCTACTTTTAACTACCAATTACTGAATTACCAAACCCAAAATTTGAGAAATCCGAACCGAATATCAAATGCCTACCCCTACTAAATAGTCTCAAAATTTCAAATATAAACTCCTCTCAATGATTCAAGTCTTTTTATATATTACTCATGTAAAACAATATACGTTTCTCAATAAGTCAAATTTTAAAATCAAGCTTTAAAGAAGTTTAAATTGCCGAACATAGAATCTAAGTTTCTTTTTCTTTCTCTATTCCCATTTTTCCCCCTCTTTTTCCAGATCCATTTAAGAAGGCCGAATGGTCTTTTTTTTTTTGTAACAAATAATCGGTGAGTTATTTTAGATAAGGAATTTTGACTCAATGGATATTTTGTCTAATTTTTCCATCTATTATAAATTGATTTCAATTTTTTTGTTTGTTAGTTAAAGGTAAATTAAATTTCTTTGCATAATATTACTATACATTTTTTCACATATTTATGTTGATTGCAAAAAACGAAAAGAAAACTTATCACTACAAGAAAAGTTTGAATTACATGGGGATTTTTCTGGGGATTAGTATGAAAATTTGCAGGAAAGTAAGTTTCCTACGGATTATCATACTAATCCCAGAAAATCCTCAGGTAATTCACACTTTTCTTGTAGTGTATGAAACAAAATATATATGGTAACAATCTTTGTATTTTTTCAAGCATTTTCTTTCTTTTGTAACGTATGCTAGAAATACTTGTGGAGCTGTTTCGTTTAGATCAACTTTTTTGGTACGTCTATGGACGAATTTTAATATATAAATAAAATCCTTCCGTTTTAAGAGAAAAAAACACCCATAAAACCCTATTCGAGTAGTGAACAAGGTGGAATCATATTTTACACGACACTAAGCAATTATATAATTACCTTTAAAATGCATACCACTAAACTATGATCGAATAATAAGTGTTTTTATAAAAATTGAGTATGACTACTTCTCTAAATTTATCCCTGCACCATCTTCGTTTAAATTTGTTTATTTTACTGCTTTTTTTTTTACTATTCTTTAATTCTATTTTGTCTATGTTTAATATTACGAGATTAAAAAATATTTTGATACAAAATATTTGTTGAGTCAAAATTTCTTGTTTTAAATAAGACAATTATCAATTCTTACGAAAAAATATGCTCATATATTCAATATTTTTTTCAATTGCAAGCAAAGTGCAATTCACTCCTTTCCTTTTTCCCCTAATATCTTTCCTCTTCCGGTCGTTGAAGAAGCTGAACTATTGTAATGTGTAAAATTATATAATTAATGTAAATGAATATATATACACTAATTATATATTACATATACACAATTTACAATGTCGATATTTTACATATTGATACAACTTTTTTTTGTCACATATACAGTTACATAAACACCCCTTTAATTTATATGACACTCAAGGAAGGTAAAAACTCAGTGTTTCCAAACTATTTAAGTAATAAGACAAAAGCAAATGTAAGGTAAATTCACATGTCCATGATATCAGTAGCGTAGCCATATACAGTGAATGGGGTTACTTCTTTAAAAAATATATATAACACCTTTAAAATAAGAAACTGGTGTGATTGTTATATAGATGAACTTTCATAATATCGTAAAACACAAAAAATTAAAAAAGAGAGAAGTAAATATAAAATACATTCATATTAGTAGAACAGCTCCCATCTAACATAGCAATACTACATAAGGTAATATTATAGGCGTCGATAGAGTAATTTCTAGATCGATATGCATTTTAAATGCATTATTCATACATAAACTATGAATTAACCATATTAATAACATAAAAAAACATGCACTTATAGATAACAAAATTAAAGGCTGTGTGCATCAAAGGCGGATCTACATTCACATTAGTGAGTTCATGTTGCTTAATAATAACTTTTGCTCAACGTCTGTATATGAATTTGCTGTTGCAAGTACCTTTAGTCATATTTTCCAGAGATTTTAATGTGGTAACCATTTGGAAATTGTAAACCTGGAGTTCGTACTATATCTCCTCCTTGATTATCTCCCACCTAATGATAATGAAGATTTTTAAATTAAAGATGTGTATATAATGACCGTATCACGCCTCTCCATATCGGGCATATTTTTATATAAATTCTTTTCAAATTCCTTTAATCAATGTATATATTTGTATCACTTACTTGTACTTGGTCACAAAGCAATGGAGAAAGACAGCCATTTGCACCTTAGCAAAGTCTGCTCCAATACAAAATCTCATGCCACCTCCAAATGCCATAAAATTCCTAGATGCTCCATTTAGATCTATTCCCTGATAGCAATTTCAACATTTCATTATAATTTCTATGAAAAAACACTAAGAAGATTTATGACAATTTCTTTTGTTATAGCATCGCGAGATAGAGCGAAGAGTTCACAAGGAGAAGAGGTCGAGGTTTGTTGATAAGTGGAAGTGTAGTGAAACTGTGAAAGTCGATCCTCGACAAAATCCAAAGATGTTCAAATTTAGTTCCAATCTGGATATAAAAGTCAAGTTCAATCATTGATAACTTTGTTTTTTGGTTGGAAAGTGCCTAGTATAATGTCTCATTTCTTGTGAATTTGTTTTTAATTGTGAAATGACCATTTTACCCTTCCTCTTAGATTTTCATGCTTAGTTTGGGTTGAGGAAATGGTTGGTGTGGTCCCAAATGTGATGGGTGTGTTTTTGGTGTTTTCGCCCCTTTTGAGTTGAGATTTTTGATATGGTTGACTTTGGTCAACATTATGAGTTTCGAGCATCGTATGGGGATTCCGTCAATTTTATTGAGTCCGAAACGTCGATTTTTGTTTATTAAAGTGATCGGTTAGAGTCCCGAGACCTTAGGTTGTGATTTGGATATTTAGGTAAAAAGTTGAATTTTTGGCTTAAATGAGTTTTGAGGGGTATTTCAGTCATATCTATCTTTGTTTTTTGCAATCCAACAATTCTGTTGGTTCCAAAACATGTTTTATGATGAATTTACACTTTTAGTTTGTGTTTATAGGATTCCGAATGAGTTTCGAGGGTCAAAAAGATGTTTTCAAGGTTGCTAGTGCACACGTTTCGTGGCAAACAAATAGACTTTTAGCGACAAAAAATGGGTTTTAGTGACGAGACAGCTGAGTTAAATATCTATTCGAATTGTTGCTAGTGCACACTTTAAGTGGCGAAAAAATAGACTTGTAGCGATGTAAATGGGTTTTAGTGACGAAATCACTGAGTTAAATATCTATTCAAACCTATTTAGTATATTTGACATTTTGGGAGCTAGAAAAGTCGGTTTGAGGTTATTTTTGATGCGTTTTTATTTCATAATCATTGGGTATGTATTTCTAACCTTATTTTACTATTTTCTCAAGTCTTTCATATTTCATGATTTATGTCCATTAAGTTGAGATTTTAAACCCTAAAGTAGAGAAATCGAAAATTGTTGATTTGAAGGTCGATTTGGAATGAGTTTTCATTGATTTTCGGGATTTAAGGTCCTTGTATTGTGGGCAAACTGATTTTGACAAAGTTTTTTTTTGAAATTTCTCATTTTTGACCGCATTCCAAATGTGGGTTTTGGGTTTTTTCTCCCAAAGTTTGAAAAGTAGTAAATTCTTGATTTAAAGCTCGATTCTTACTTGTTTTTGATGGATTTTTCAACCATGAACTCCTCTTGGCTGGCAGAACTTGATTTTCAACTAAAAAACTGATGTTACCCTTTTGATTTTCGAAGTGATTTTAAAACTATTTTACCCGATTTCAAATCATATCAATATGGGTATCATTGAAGTACTCATTTTGATGAACTTTTTTAATTTTTGATGGGTTAGGATCGTTTCGATTAGCTTGTTGTTGTGGATTTGCTCCGATAGTGTTGTTCGGATAAAGTTTTGGCCTTGAGATAGGTTTGGCTATCCTTCTCCTAGGCTGGGATTGGGTAATTGATCTTTCTTATGTCTTATGCTATGGGATGGGATAGTAGCATGATTTTGGGCTGTGAATTGTATTGTGCTGCTGTGCGGGGGCTTGATTGTATTGTGTTACCCGTGTGAGGGCTTATATGTGTTGTTTAGCCTATGTTGAGGCCTTAATTGTTGTTTTATTTCCTTTGAGAGTATATGATTCATAAGTTGCCTTTAAGATAGGCTTGTAATGTTATTTGACTTGTAATCCCCAAGTGAGAGGCTGAGTTGGAAATTTTATTGTAATGACCTGTTTCTGTCGTTATAGAAAAGCCAATGGGGAAAGAATTGGGGCAGAAAACTTTTAAGTAGTGACTTGAAAATTTCTAGCCTAGTCCAGATTTGGACGAAATCTGAGTCAGGTGAGGTCTAGGGAAATATGGTAATGAATGGGAGATTTAATTATGAATTAAATCATATGAGTTGATAGCCAAGACGTTAAGGAGCCCGTACGGATTTACAGAATTGAATTCGGGCGAGTAGAACTCCTGAAACTGATCTTGGAATGAAAGGGTAGTTTTTTAACGTCAAGGATTGAAGGTGTGTTGCAAAGTGGGAGCTTAGAACTCAAATTCTGAGCTTTTGTCTTTGTACAAGCAGCCGGGGCGGGATTAATCCCGCCAAGGCGGGGCCGCTGTGGCAGGACAATCAAGACTTAAATCGGGAAAAAACCCTAAAAACGTTATTTTCTGCAAAACTTCTTCCTTGAGAGCTAGGAGACGACCCATGAACAGTTCTTGACAGTTTTCCACGTTTTCTAGCGCTAAAGATAAGATTATTACTCCCCTAATCCGTAATTTGATTCGTAGACCTTAGAATCTTGGGTAATTATCATTGGGGGAGGGTTTTGGCTTGAAGTTAATGGTGGGAAAGCCCTAATTGAACAATAGGATCTTGGGTTTGGCCATGGATTATAGTTTTGTTATTATCCAGGTAAATTAGGCCTTGTTTATTGATCCTTGCGTTAAATTACTTATTTTCGACCAAGAACAAGCGGAAAGAATCCGAAAAGGGAAGGTTCAAGCGTCTTAAGAGGATTCAAGCTTGGTTTCGAGGCAGGTGATGGTTTGATTTCCTGTTTGTGTGATATATACCGGTTAATTGCTTCATTGTATGCATGCATGTGTGCGAATAAGGAATGTAAACCGAATCTAATGCAAATAAGTATATGTATATGCACAATTACATGCCATGAACCTATTACTTGATTGTATGACTGTGAGCATTGTTCATTATGAATGTGATTGCAATTGTAGTTGTGTTGACTGGATCGGGTGTCATGTTTCGACACATATATTGGATCATGTTTCACGTTCTGACACGTATATCGGATTAGGTGTCACGTTCCGACACTTATATTGGATCGGGTGTCACATTTTGATACATGTAAATTGGATCGGGTGTCACGTTCCGACACATGTAAATTGGATCGGGTGTCGCATTCCGACACACTAACAGTTTGGGTGTGGGTTCAATGAGAGAACCATTGTTGATTATTATGTTTATGTCCACCTGTCATTAATATTGGGAAACTATATGTTGCTCTGAAATGTTAATTGAACTATGTATTCTGTATATGTGTGTTTACTGTGTTGTAATTGTCTGCTTGTATTTCGCTTACTGGAGTAGCCGTGTGATCCTACCAGTACACTATGGTTGTGTATTGATACTATACTTTCTCATTCTTTGTTGAGTACAGGGTATCTTCAAGAGGCTACTGATTGACCTCAGCTAGGAGATCACTGATCGAGATCGAATTCAAGGGTGAACCAGTTCTTCCAGGCTGCCATGTATCCTTCCTTGTTTAGTCCACTCTTTTCGGACTCAAATTATTTAGTTAGACTTTGCTTATGTTAGTTTAGGGATTGCAACCCTTTTTCTTAGACTTGTTGGTTTTCAGAGTTTTGGTACAATGAGTTTCAATTTTTAGGTGTAGAACTTCCGCAATAGTTATGTTTAGTTGTTTTATTAAACCTTTGGAGTTTATGGGAACTCCGTTTTATCCATCATTTAAACCTGCTTTCGTATCTTTAAATGTTCTAGTTTTCGTTAATTTGATTAGTTGAGTTGTAGTAATAGTTCTCCCACCGGAGGGTTAGTGTGGGTGCCAATCACGACGGTCTGGGTCGTGACATTTATAATGCTTTGATTAAACGAAATGTTTTTTAAATGGAATTCACTTATTTCTAATGAACTTTTTCCCACTATTTTTCATCTGAGGGTGTATATCATGATCAACTGAGTTTTGAGAAATTTAGACTGTTGATACATGTTGAGTTTGATTATTGATTCCATGTTATATATGTGTTGTGATTCATCCATCCTTATTCATCATATCATGTTCTTTGGAAATTGGGAAAAATATGGAGATTCCTTTTTTGAAAGAAAATGAGACATTTTATATATCATTGACCACATTGAGGTGACAAGTTGATGAAATATTGAGATTGTAATTTGGTATATGGATTACGAGTCCCCCATGTGTCCTTGTATTGGAGCCTTAGCTCGACAGGGTGTGCGACAGCCTTGATTCCACCGTACCACCACATTATTGCATCATCTCACTACATTGCATTAATCATTTGAATTGCTTGATTTGTCTGTGACATGAGAACTGTTGTGACCTTATGTTTTACTTTACTCGTGCAGTTCATGATAAATTTGTGGCACATATCCCTAAATGAGACTTTTCTGTATGCAGGTGGAAGCATTCCTAAGTATATTTCATAAGTTGATTAAGTCCTTTTACTCAGTCGGTCGAGTCTACTGAGTACTTGTGGATTGTACTCACCCCTACTTCTGTATCATTTTGATGTAGATTCTAGTCAGGATACTACCCGCGGTGGCTGATCGTGGCTAGCCTTGGGGATCTTTTCAGAGTGGTGGTGAGATCCTATTCCCGGAACACCATTAGTTTTATCCTTTATTTTCAGTCTTTGTTTCTTTTCGAATACTTGTGATGTGTTTCATACTCTAAAGTTGTATTAGATGTTCTTTATACTTATGTTACCAGGTTTTGGGATATTCTTTGTTGTTCTTTGCTATCATTTGTGTCCCGACTTTCCTTCGGGAGTCTCGTGTGTGTGTTATTTTCAACTTACACACTAGTTTGGAGTTTTCGAGGTGTGTGTCATCTTGACCTCGGCTTTTGGGTCATGACACCTAGGTCCTTTCCACTTTTTTTAGTCTCTTCAATCACTTTTTTAACTTTTCTAGTATCAATTAATTCATTCGAGAATATGAGTTGTACTGAGTAAATTTGAGTCTTATATCTTATTCCTGAAAAGTTTTTCTCTTCGGTCTTGTCTACTATCTAAGTGGTTTCTCTCTTTACAGCATGTTGGTGTCAGGGAAGGTTTAGCACCTCTTTACTAGTTAGCAAAAAAAAAATCTAGAAATTTTATGTGTCTTCTTGAGTGAATGAAATGTGAAGCACGAACGCGGTTAGTTAGTGAACCATAACGGAGCTAAGAATGCAACATTCAGAATTCAACAAGTTATATATACATCTGAGTTGTGAAAACAACCTCTTGCAGACATGTAGGGTAACATTGCGTATAATTAATTTTGGTGGACCAACTCTTTCCTAAATTTCGCACATTTCAGTTGAAAAAAATATTAAAAATTTTAAAGTTTTTCTTCAACTTGAAAATATTTTTTTTAAAATTTAGAGTGAGAAGTCAAAATAATATATAACCAAATAGATGTTTAATTTTTTAATTTTTTTTATATCAAATCATTATATAATTTTCCGATAAAGTACTCACCTCCCATCTCCATGGATTGAATTGAAGTGGATCCTCATATTTGGCAGGATTTAAGTGGACAGCTGGAGGACACACCATTACTGCCCAACCAGCTGGAATGGTATATCCTGCATCTCACAAAAAGTTTATTTTAGAAATTAATCTTATTCCAATGATACAGTAATGAATTTTTGCACAATCAGTAATGTTCTCTTAATTTCAGTAAATATACACAATTTATAGAAGGATATGTATGCACCATTTGTTGGGAAAAAACAGTTATATATGCTCCCTTGAGTAATCAAGGGATACCTCGCACCTTCCCTCAGTTAAATTCTTGGGAAAAGAATCTGGAAAATACTTTAACTTTGGTCGAAATTGTTGTTGCGATATCAAACATTGGAAAGGAAGTTTTACCCCCTGTACTAATTAATAGTATATTTTAAAGGTATAAATATGTCTACATGGACATCCAAATCTTGATTACATACCTTTGAAGTTGACGTCTTGAAGTGCTTTTCTGAAAATCAAAGGCGCAATATTTGCCAATCTGACTGTTTCATTGATAAACTACATTTTTTCAATGAAATTAATTAATTTATGATTATATATTTAGACTTGGAAGGGACAATATTATAATTTAGATTAAATACCTGAAATGTGAACTTCATTGATTTATACTCTTTCCATGTAAGTCCATAAGATGCATTTCCCCTTCTTCTAATTATTGCCTCATGTTCCTCCTGAAAAACATTTGAGGAGTGTTTGATTGTTGTTTAGAGAAATTATTGTAACACTTATTATAAAAAGTTCAAATTCTGAATCCGACTTTGTCAAGTAAGTGCATATGTTGTTCAATTGATGAAGAAGATTATGGTTTCACTTACTGTTAATTCTTTCAAAGCCTTTGGATCTTCATGAAGAAATTTAATAGCCAAAGTTATAGCCAAAGAGGTTGTCTCAAAGCTAGCAAAGAGCAACGCAAACATCAAATCCAAAGCTATTGCCTCAGTGAGAATTGTGTCTTTACTTTGAAGTTCTTCTAATACATAATCAAAGAAGTCACTTTGTTCTTTTCTTGGTTGTGATTTCCTTTCCTCTAGCATTCTCTTGAGCATCTTCATTATCTTCTTTCTTCCCTAATGAACACCTTCAACAGTTAGTTCAATCATGACTTGTCTAAATTTAGTCAAACATCGTTATAATAATATTATTTTGTCTATATTTTTGGATGTTATAATGAAATATTGCTATAGAAAATATATAATATAAATACTGATTAAGTAAAGAACTTTTATACAATCACTTTATTTTTAACCTTTATAGTAGGTAATTCATTTTATTTTTCAGGTTACTGATTACTTTTTATTAGAGATTATATGTAATTATTATGATAATATTAGTGTATAGAAATCAAACTCAGAAATACCTGTAAACACTTGTGATAGGCCATTCCAGGAAAGCATAAAGGGAAGGAAATTAATCCCTTTATAAAAGCGGTAAAATTTTCACACACATTCTCTGTAGAGTTCTCAGAATCATAGCTGATAAGTTTCTTTCCAGTTAGATCAAATATCATCTGAAAAAATATAAAATATTTTGCTTTGAATCCAAATATCATTTGCAAACAAAATACAAACTCTTTGAGATATACATATTATGCCGGAAAGATACTAAGCATATTAGTTTCTCTTTCAATATTATTATTATTGGCTTAAGTCATCGACGATCCCTTAAAGTTGTCTGCATAATTCACTTAGATATCTCAACTAAGACTAGTACTTATTGAACACCTTTAACTATTCAAAAATTATTCCTATTAGACATTTTTTTATAATAGCCAAAAGGTATGAAGAGGTTTGCACTGACATGGCAACCTGACTAATTAAAAAAATAACACGTGGCATTGGGGCCCTAAAATAATAGAAAAAATATATTTTTTTGATTAAAATTATTTCAAACACATTTTATATCTATTTTAAAAAAATAAATAAAATGAAAATATCAATATATTCAACCAGCCCCACCCCTACCCAACCTCCTCCCAGCCCCCTTTGATCTTCATCTTCTTTCGTAAATACATTCTTTCCCAAATCACAAAATTCAATTTCTTTTTAAATAACTTGAAGATTAACCTTTTAAAAAAAACATATTTTCATACTAGATACGTCATAGAGAAAGAATGGTATAAGAGTAAAGGAGAAAGGGAATTGACCAGTGGATACTCATTTTAGATTGATGACAAAAGAAATTGATAGCTCAAAATTAATTCTACCGAATTTTCGGATATCATTTTTGATGAATTTAGTGGATTTACATTTTAATTTGAATTGTAATATTTGTTCTAAAATAGTGATAGACGAATATCGGCCCACTAACCTTTTTTTTCTCTGATGCATAAAAATCATTTATCTTCTTTCTTCTTTTTTCATACATTCAATAAGTTGATTCATATTTAAAAGGAAAAAGATAAAACAAAAAAATATTAAAAAACAGTGTTGGAGCTAAAATGGAGAAAACTTGGAAACTAATAAAGATGAAGAAGATGACTGGTGGGGGGTGGGGCATTTTTTTTTTTTTTTTTTAAAAAAACGAATCAATGAAAGAAGGAAATTTTTTTATATTAATTATAGTGCCAAGTGTTAATAAAAGAAGAAAAATATATTTTTAAAAAAAAAAAATACTATTCGAAGTTGCGCTCCATGAAAGTACAGAACACTATTTTTGCCATATCAGCGTTTTGTGTTTAATAGGTACATGTTTTGCACAATTTAGGTGTTCAATAGGTACAAGTCCTAATTGAGGTGTCTAAGCGAATTATGCGGATAATTTTAAGGGGTTGTCGATGACTTAAGCCTATTATTATTAGTCTCTTAGAGCCCGTTTGGTTTAGCTTTAAAAAAGTAGCTTTTTAAAAGTAGTTTTTAAAAGTCAAACTTAAGTAACTTTAAGTTAAAAAGTGAAAAATAGGTGTATCTACTTTTAATAACTTTTTTAAAGTTATTTTATATTTATTTTAAATTATTTTTAACTTTGTCAAACACTCTCAAAAGCTAAAAATAACTTAAAAGTAAATTTAACCAACTTTTAAGTCAATCCAAACAAGCTCTTACTATTTTAGTCTTGTATTTATTATTATTTATTGTTTTTTTCCCTCCGATATTTTTGCTTGGTCACCATAATTTTTTTGTTGTTACTATGATTCTTTTCTCCTCTGTTTTTAACATGACTTCTTAACTATTGCATTGCTCTGAAATTTAGACTACTTAGTGAATTTGTGAATTTGTATGTAATAAAATACATGAAAGTTGAGTGACCATCTCTGAAATTACCCTGCAATTTAGACTACTTACCTTGGTTGTTGCTTCCTTCATCTCAACACTCTTTTGTCTTGACCATCTGTTCAAGTTATTATTTGTAGTTTTTTCAACCTCAGGCAGCAAAATTTTCAAACTTTCAGGGCCAAAAAGATTTAGCACCATGTTTTTCAAGTACTTGTACATAAAACCATGTAAAGATCCAACATTTTGCCTTCCAAAAATCTCTTCAAAAGTATGTGGATACCAACTTTGAAACAATTGCCCTTCTTGTTGGAAGATGAAGTAATTAAAATCAGGGTCTATGGATACTATGATTGGATATCCCACCAAACTAGTTCGAAATATCGGCCCATACCTGATTAAGAATTTAGATGTTGTGAGTTTCGAGATGTGAAATAAGTGGGATGCGAAACATATATTAAGTTATTTTGTTTTTAACATATATATAACGTTTGTTTCCGATTTACTAAGTTATGTCAAGCCTATGAACTCGTGCTTAGATCAATGTGTTCCAATTAATTGTGTGGTGTCTGTGCATGTAGTTTAAGAAAAAAGGAAATACTTCAGAAACTTATAGTCTCAAATAAATTATAGACATTTGTGTGACTATAAGTCATCTTATTAAGTATAAAATGAGAAATTTAAAGTTTTTTTTTTTTTTGGTTTTTCACCCCGTGTCCGGAGCCCACATTAGAGCTCCGACTAAATCTGAATCGCGCACTGCAGGGCTCATTCGGGGGTGGCGCTCCCAACAGGATTTTCTCCATACCCAGGGCTCGAACCTGAGACCTCTGTTAAGGGTGAAACACTTCCACCAGTGCACCACAACCCATGTTGGTAGAAATTTAAAGTTAAATCATATCTACTTAAAGAAGTTTGACATTCTTTTTGAGAAAGATTAAAAAAAAAAGGTATGATAAATACATTGTGAAGCCGCAATTAGACCTTTGTTCTAATTAGACATAATACATAAACATAACCCTTAGCTTGACCTCAGCTGGAAACTATGACCTTTAACTTTGGGTGTGCACAAATAGGTAATTAAACTTGTATAAAATTGAACAAATAGACACATTCGGCCTACATGGCAATTTTGTGTCCTACACGTGGTGTCCAATGTATATTATGTCATGTAGGACATGTGTGTCTACTTGTTTAATTTTATACAAATTTAAGTGTCTACTTGTGCACACTCAAAGTTTGAGGGCATAGTTGTCCGTTGAATCCAAGTTAAGGGTCATGTTTATGTATTATGTCTTCTAATTATGTGGTGGTGACTGAGTATGCAGTTTAACAAACAAAAAAAGACTTTTGAAATTTGTTGTCTAAAATAAGCCATAGATATTTGTGTTTCTATAAATCATCTCATCAAGTGTAGAATGAGACGTTCAAAATTAAATTGTTTCTGTATTTACAAAAAAAATAAAAGCATAATACATAAATATGTCTTTTTACTTCGCCTCAATTGGCATCAATGCCCTTCAACTTTGGGTGTACACAAGTAAGCATTTAAACTTGTATAAAATTAAATAAGTAAACACATGTGTCCTACGTGACATAGTACATGTAGGACACCACTTATGATGTCTCATAGGATATGAATGACACCACTTATGATGCCTAATAGGAAGTGAATTGCCACATAGAACGACAAGTAGGACGTGTGTGTCTACTAGTTCAATTCTATAGAAGTCTAAGTGACTACTGGTGCACACCCAAGGTTGGAGGGCATAAATGCAAGATGAAGCTAATTTAAAGAGCATGTTTATATATTATGCCAAAAATAAAGTATGTCATTCTATTAAACAAATTAAAAAAGAAAATATGACACATAAATTGATCAGATAAAGAGAGTATATAGAGATCACATCTTTTTTACTCCTTGATGATTCGAACTCACAATTTTAGGATTTGAGGTGGACGTTGATTGTCATATGAGCACGTCTCTCTTGTCATCAAACATCTCTATAATGACGACATTTGTTGAAATATTTTTGACAGCTATAACAAAATGTTATTATAAAGAACATAATGATAATATTAACGTTTAATTAGTTATTTTACCTTTGCATCCTCTCCTTCACAAAGGGAGAAATATCAAATGATGTATTTGGTGCAAAGAATTGAATAGTCTCACCAAGTAATGGCCAACCCATTGAACCTGGTGGGAGTTTTCCATTGCTTTTAGGGTTCCTCTAGTAATGTATAATAACTATAACCAGGGGCGAATTTATGTACTAATTTTGGGTCACCCGAACCCGTGGTCATCCGACTAAACTCGATATATTACTTCTATAATTATTAAAGAATATATTAAATTAAAACTTGTTGAACCCGTTCTCAAAATGGCTGGATGGTTCACTGGTACCACTGCAAGATTTCAACTCACAGGTCGCAGGTTCGATCCCAGGCAGCCCCAATTCGCTTCAATTTATTTTTATTAACTAAAACACATTTTTCATTTAAAAAAAGAAAAGAAAAAAGCTAAATTCTGAAAGTTTAAAAGTCAAAAGACTTCAAAAGTTTCCTTCCCACATAGTTTTCAAGTTCCAAGTTCCAACAATATTTTTCTTCCCTCTTCAAATTTGTTTTCTATTTTCCACACAAAGAAGAAGCTTCAAGTCTCCAACTTCAAGTCAAGAATTTAGAGAAATCATCATTGTCAAAGTTTAAGGTAATTTTAGTTTATGATTTCTCTTTTTAATAAACAAACTAACAAGATAAATAAATAAATATATATATATATGTATATATCACTTTAATTTAGGGTTTCATATAAAAAATCTTGTCATTACTTATAATAGGAAATCATCAATAGCTAAAGAATTGATTATCTCAAACTTACATATTTTGCGGATGTAACTTGTAAGGAATGTGTTTCATATTATATTATCAATTTTGAAGGGTGTGTATTTCCTTTTTTTTTTAATGTGAAAGGGGTGTGATTCCTCTATTTTATTTGAACTTGCAAGGGTGTGATTCCCTTATTTTTTATTGTGAAAGATATGCGATTCTCTTATTTTATTTTAAATTTGCTAGTTAAATTTGTGACTAAGTTGAATAGAATTGGTGAAGTAATTTTTGAATGGATGTTTAGTTTGTAAGATAGAGCGGAAGATATTTGAAAATGTAAGTAATGATGCTATTATAGATCGTTTTCAGAATATGAAGTCTCGTCGAGTACAATTGTAAACTGATGATATTTTTTGTGGTAATGTAATTTTTATGCATTGCTCGCTTAGTTATTGTTATTATAATTTTTTTGATATTATCTTTAAAGGAATGGTGCACCCGTTTTCTTGAAATCCTGGATTCGCCTCTGACTATAACAACTAAAGATCCAATAATATAAATACCAAGTGACAACATTTTCTTGATAATATATTGTGTGTAAATTAAAGATATGAAAATGTGGTGGTTTATATAATTAGAAGAAATGGGGAACTATAAATAGGCAGTGGAATAATGTAGTCCAGATCCAAAATAATATATTTTATCCTCTGTTAAATGTTTGGTGTATTATTTGTACATTTGTTTGTGGGGTTGTTCATGATAATGATTAAAAATCAAATTGAGACGTTTTTGTTTTAAAAGTTGAAGTCATAATTCTCTATTATATTATATGAGTATATATGTAAGTTGAAGTCGACCAAATTATAATTACCTATTTACCGCACTATTAAATGTCAAAATCGATATTTAAAATATCAAATCATATTAAATTTATTTTATATAATAATAAAATTACTATTTTTAAAAATAAAAAATTAAAATTAATGAACCAAAATTTTCATTCCGTAAAATACCCACACCCCTAGTGTTGGCTATAGCCGCCTAATTTAGTAAGTTCAAAAGTAAACTCATTTTATTGTTGACTTTGTTACCATTCATGTCTATTAATTTTTTTTTTTTAAAAAAAGATGCAATAAATTCATTTTAGTAGTGTAGAAGTCTAATTTTGATCCAAACATTTTCGTTTAGTTATTCAAATATTTCCATAAAACTTAAAGCTAATATTTTAGTTCTGAATATATGATAGACACATAATTTTTTATCAATTATTTTTAATAATGTAGATTTAAGACGCCTAATTTTGGATCAATTGTTTCTAGTGATATAGATTGTAAACGTCCATATAATTTGGACTAGCTTGGTCCCATAAATTAATTTAAAAAAAAATTGGTCCCATAAATTAAGTGCTAAAATACGATAGACCAAACTCAAGATTAATATTCAAGAATAAATATATGTTTTGTTTAGTTTCGATTTGACTTTTTTTTTAAAAAAAAAAGTTTAAAATCAAACCAAACAAATATTATGATTATTGTTATTTTTTTTCAATATCAAACTAAAGCACTAAAAAAAATTCTCGATTTGATTTGGTTTATCAATTTGATGGATTTTTCTTCTTCTTTGAACACCCCCCTGAAACGCTATTCTAACAATGAACAAGGTGGAATCATATTTTACACGAGACATAATAATTATTATAAGGAAAAATCTTTTTGGCCAGAATGATATTTTATCTATGTTATTTTACCTTTTAAAACATTTTTACCCTTTTAACTTTAATATCTTTTAACTAAAAAATGAAAAAAAAGATTAGTTTGTTTTAAAATTAAAAAAATATTATAATTTTTTTAATTTTCTGGCCAAATTTTCTGGCCATTTAGCACTTCCGATTATATAATTAACCTAAAAAGGCATACCACTTAATTATGATCGGATGATGACTAATTAATGTTCTTATAAAAGTTAGGGAAAATGGTTTGAAAAATACTCCAATGTTGGCCGAAATTGCTGTTACGATACCAAACTTTATGGAGGACCTTTTACCCCTGTACTATTTAATAGTGTATTTTAAAGGTATATATGTGTCCACGTGGACACATTACTATTTATAATTATGAAATATTTATGATGTCCACGTGGGCACATATATACCTTTAAAATACACTATTAAATAGTGCAGGGGGTAAAAGGTCCTTTTCAAAGTTTGATATCGTTACAGCAATTTCGATCAAAATTCGGATATATTTCAAACCCTTTTTCCTAAAAGTTACTTCTCTTGATTTCATTTAAACTCATTGAATCGTTTCGTAATACATATGATCCTTTATAAAAAAAAAATTAATGTTTTATATGATATCAGAGTCTATATAATTTTAATGAGTACAATCAATTTTTGTTTTCACTACATCAAAACAATACTTTTTCTTCTTGTCATCTTCTCTGCTTTCTTTTAGGATAACATTTTATGTCACCTTCTTTTTTATTTTTATAATATCTCATTTGTTCAATATTCCTTTTAATTCCTCAGTTCGATTAAATAAAATTTGCACTAAGTAAAGCATATTAAAAGGGAAAATATTCCCTATGTACAATAAATGTTTTCATTCCCTAGATTGGTAAACAATAAAATTTATTGCTAATTTTAATCAATGATGAATTAGCGATAAACTAGTAAAAAAATGGGATAAGGCATGAGTATTCCTTCTCCCAAATTATATCTGAGACTAGTTAACTAATCCGCGCTTTGCGCGACCAATTAAAATCTTATAAATTTTATGAAATAACCAATTAAAATCTTATAAATTTATGAAATAATATTTTTCTTTGAATATCTATATACAAAAAAAATTCAATAAATAAATAAATAAAATTAAATTTTTGATAATGATCACGTATTCAAATTCTCTTCACAATTGTGCAGTTCTAAAGTATTCAAATATTTTAACAACAGTTTTTAGATATTTAGTTGTATGTACATTCAACATTTTCTTTTATTTTGAGAAATATTATAAAATATTATTACTTTATTTGAGTTCAATCTTTAATATAATTATATGATGCGGATAATATTGTGTTTTGCTATTAAGTATTTTTTTAAAAAACATCATAATTCATTGCA